CAAGTCATTTGCATAATCGGTTATACTGCGTGGAGCATCGGGTGGTATCCCGGTGATCAGGTCTGCAGGCAGCCGTAATTCTCTTCCAAAGTTTGCGAAAGCTGGTGTCACTGCTGTACTTTCGTGAACAGAACTTCGATATGACAACAAAAACGGTTGTATGTGCTTGTCCCAATCTCGTTGCCGATTGTCTACAACTTTTGCTAGGTACCTCTCCAATGTCTGATTAAATCGTTCCACCATTCCATCAGATTGCGGGTGATAAGAAGTCGTTCTTGTTTTATGAGTACCCATAACTCGGCAAGTTTCCTGGAATATTTGAGACTCAAAATTCCTTCCTTGATCGCTGTGAATCTCTAAAGGTACTCCAAAACGACAGAAGACTTCATGAACTAGTTTATCTGCAACTGTTGAAGCTTCTTGATTTGGAATGGCGAAGACGAAAGAGAAGAAAGGCCACTTAGTGAAGTAATCCATCACAACCATGAAATACTTGTTACCGCTTTCACTCTCCGGAAACGGCCCCGCCACGTCAATGGCTATTCTCTCCCATGGTGCACCAACATTGTACAACTTCAATGCACCTCTACTACGAGTCTGAGGTCCCTTTACAGCCGCACAACTTGTACATTTGCGACACCAGTCCTCGACATCGTTTCGACAGTGGACCCAGTAAAACCGTTCTCGGATCTTCAGTAGAGTTCGTTTAACTCCCAGATGGCCTCCTGAACAATCATTATGGTACAGCTGTAGAACATCCGGTACTTTAACTTTAGGGACAACCATTTGCAAATGACAGCTGTCTCCCCGAACGTTTTCCCATTTACGACACAGAACTCCATCCTGAAGCAGCAAGCTGTCCCACTGGGCCCAATAGCTTTTAGTGGTCGAACTCATCGCTGAGACGTCACTCCACTTGGGCTTGGGAGCACTGGCCTTTATCCATTCCAGAATCGGCTTGATGTCCGGATCTTCCTGCTGTGCATGTAGTAAGCTGTCCTTCCACTCGTTGCTGAGGTGGTCTGCCCTGAGCATCCTCACGGATACCACTTCCTTACTCTCTTGCCTAGTACAATGTTTGCAATCTTCAGGACAAGGTCTTCTTGACAATGCATCTGCATTGCCATGAGATTTCCCGCTGCGATGTTCGATCTCAAAGTCGTATTCCTGCAGTAGTTCAATCCACCTCGCAACTTGTCCTTCTGGGTTTTTAAACTGCAATAGCCATTTTAGTGCAGCATGGTCAGTTCGTAAGTGAAATTTTCATCCCAGAAGATATTTGCTAAAATGTTGCAACGACTTTACCACAGCTAGCAATTCGCGTCTTGTGACACAGTAGTTCCTTTCCGGTTTTGACAACGACTTGCTGAAGTACGCTATCACGACCTCTTGGTCACCATTCCGTTGAGACAACACACCGCCGAGTCCTATATCACTTGCGTCTGTGTCAACTATAAATTCTTTGCTTGCATCAGGGTATCCCAAAATAGGTGTTTTGCACAGACGGTCCTTGAGCTCCTGGAATGCGATATTGCAACTTTCATCCCAGCAGAAATGTCGCTTCTCCTCGGTTAGCTTGTGCAGAGGTTTGGCTATATCTGCAAAGTTCTTCACGAATCGCCGGTAATAGGAGCACAAACCCAAAAATGCTCTAACCTGCGTCTTGTCTTTTGGAACCGGCCAATCCTTGACAGCGGCGATTTTCTCTGGATCTGTGCGGATACCTTCTTCCGATACTACAAACCCCAAAAAGTTAACTTGCCGTTGAAATAGTGAACATTTCTTCGGGCTCAACTTGAGGTTGGCACTCTGAATCTTCATGAGCACGCGTTCCAGGTTTTGAAGGTGTTCCTCAAACGTACGGCCCACGATGATGATGTCATCCAAGTAGACCAGACAGGCATCGCCAATTAGCCCGGTAAGTACAAGTTCCATCAGCCTTTCAAACGTTGCTGGAGCATTGCACAACCCAAACGGCATTACTTTGAATTGCCACAGACCCTTTCCCGTCGAGAACGCAGTTTTCTCCTTGTCCTTAGGGTCAATTTCAACTTGCCAGTAGCCACTTTTTAGATCCAGCGTGCTAAACCATTTTACTCCTGTAAGCATGTCCAGCGTGTCATCAATTCTTGGCAAGGGATAGCTGTCCTTCTTTGTAACGTCGTTCAGACAGCGGTAATCAACACAGAACCGCATGCTGCCATCCTTCTTTTTCACCAGCACCACTGGTGAACACCATGGACTAGAGGAAGGTTCAATAACACCATCCTTCACCATTCCTTCAATCATGGTTTCCACTTCCTTTTCACGTGCTACCGGCAATCTTCTTGGCCGCTGACGGATAGGCAATTCCTCTCCTGTGTTTATTTTGTGTTGAACTAGGCCAGTCTTTCCTATGTCAGCATCATTTGATGAGAATACATCGGCGTACTTGAGTAACAACTTCTTCGCCTTGACCAATTCGTTCGGGGACAGAACACTGCGACAGTCTTCCAAAAGTGTGGTCACTCTCGTTTCTGAATCCTTGCTGGGGGTCCCACTCGATATATATTGGCACTGACGTAACCAATCCACTTCCTCACAAGTACCAACCAGTGTGCCTTTTTCTATAATCTGTTCCCGGTCGCAAAGGTTCAGCACACGTACTCCTGAGATGTCAGTGGTCCTGACCAAGGTTCGAGCTACTTTCCATGGAAGGTCATTGTTTACCCTTTCCACAAGTACACAACGGTGAGCTTGCCCAGCGTTTCGAGGTAGACTAACCGGAACAATCGTTTCCGATCTCGGCGGAAGAACAATCTTCTTGATGCTGTACACGTTCCCTGGTAACGCACCTTCCATAAAAAGTTCCTCCTGTCCACATTTCAAAACACCTTGCTTAACGTCGATCTCACAACAATTATTCCTCATAAAGTCTAGGCCTAAGATGCAGTCGTCCATTATATCAGCCACGATGACATTATGCAGGTAGATCACGTTGCCTAGCTTCAACTCCATCTCCTTCTCTCCACGGACGGGTATACGCTGACCGGTGGCTGTTACCAAATTAAGGCGTTCTCGGTTGTATGCGGAGTCCCCAAGGAACTGACTTATAAGTTGGGAACTAACAACCGTACGAGAGGCTCCAGTGTCTATGGTCAGCTTACACGGCATTCCGTTGATCTCGCCCTTTATGATTAGGCTGTTCCCATCATGGGTTTGTGAGATCGAGATCCTTGGGGCTCTTTTAACATCAGCCAGCACCCGCCCCGCAGTTCTGGCTTTTACTCGTTTCCCTGCCGCTGCTGGGCGGTGCTGTTGGCCGCACTACCCTCCTGAGATCGTTCAATTTCCCTTTCTAGGGTTCGCTTAGGGCAGCTGGATCGAAGATGGCCCTTTTCCCCACAGCCATAGCACCTTGGGCTGTATCCTTTGTTGCAGTCGCGAACTGTAGCTGCTGCAACCTCCCTGACGCGATGGGAACGATGATCCTGCCGCACGGCTTCCACTTCCAGTGCATGGGCCAAGGCGTCCTTAAGCGTCTCGTGGTGCCCGAGCCTCACAGCAGCTCTGACTTCCAGGTCGCGGATGCCGTCGATGAATGTCTGCACCAGGTTCCCTTCAATGAGCGCAGGTACAGACCGGTATGCTTTTCGCACCAGCTTCTCCACTTCTAGAGCCCACTGCTGCAGGTTTTCGTTGATGCGCTGCACACGATCTTTAAGCTGCGCACGAAAGACGTGTTCCAGGTGAGCGTCGCCATATCTCGCCTCCAATGCCTCAAGGAGTTGCTCATAAGTCACTTCCTCACCGAGAGCTTCCAGAACTGTTAAGGCCTGGTCGCGCAGGCCTAGTGTGAGAGCAGTCATGGCCTGACTTTTATTCCAGCCGTTCGCCTTCATAACAGCCTCGAACTGGATTTTGTAGGCTGACCAGGAAGAAGTCCCGTCGAATGGTGGCACCTTGAACCCACGTAGCGAAGGTGTAATAGCTACTACGGGAGCTGTAGTTCCATCCCCCAGTTTGAGGTCGTCCAGCGTTTTCTTCACGTCAGCCATCACGTAATCAACCCGATTGTTTACTTGGTCGATTTGGGTTTTAGCTTCCTTGATTTGGGTTTCAGCTTCCGACAGGCGGTTGTCATGTTGAGCAACCCTATCCTTCACCTCCCTAATCTCTTTCCCGAAGTTAGCGTGAATGTCCTTCACGAGGAGCATCTGTTCCTCCTGTCGGCGAGCCTGTTCCTCCTGTCGGCGAGCCTGTTCCTCCTGTCGGCGAGCCTGTTCCTCCTGTCGGCGAGCCTGTTCCTCCTGTCGGCGAGCCTGTTCCTGCAGCATCACCATCAGAGCACCTAAATCGGGTGCTGCAGATGGAGGAGCTACTGACGGGCCTGCAGCCGGCGGCTGGCCCTCCGACGTCAGCGGCGTTGCACCACCAAATCTTCTTTGGTCCGTCTCCTGCTGGCGTTGATTTCGGGTACGGACACCCTCCGTTTCCTCCTTAGGTAAAATCGGCATGATTTTATCCCACTTCTGACACCAATTGTTACGAGCTTGAGGTTCGTGACAATAAAAATTGCCGATAAAATTACCTAAATTAACACTTTAATTTACTTTACACAAATTAAAGTTAAAACACTAATAATTAAACACACTAATTCACTTAATTTCGCTCCGAAGCTTCGCTTGTTTCGTCAAATCAACACTGCCTCGATCGCATCTTGCAGCGCCTATATATTTGAATTAGCAAAGAAATATCCAGAATGTTCAAGTAAACACGCGGAAGGTACCGAGCGTTCGAGTTTCGACTAGGCGCTGTCAGTTGAGCGATTTGTGATGTCATTTTCTCAATGCTCCCCTCGCTCTCGTTCCTGACACTAGATGGCGCTAGTTGACTTATTCATGCAACAATACCATGTGAAGTCAGACTGTATGATAATTTAAGTTCTTAGTTATAATTTTTTTATTACTAACAGTTTTTAAATATTTTATATGTTAAGTTTTAACAATTAAATAAATTACCTGTTCAGCTTGCTGTTGATCCCGCTTTTCGTCTTCTGTGTTCATTGTGACAAAGCGCAACACCAACAAGTTCAAGCAGGCCGCCACTATCGCGAGTCCGAATAGGATGAATATTAAAGCAAACATCACGTAGGAGGGCTTGCGGTTAAGCGCGTTGTCCTTCTGTAGGGCCACCATGTCACCAAAGCCTGCAAAGTTACAGCAGAGTTAGATCCATAGAGCCGGCCATACATGTTGGCCGAGCGAAGTCGAGTACCAACGTATAGACAACCCATTTGTCCAGCCTCGCCATTGCTTGTCAACGCTCGTCTAACTGACTAAGTGCAGGCGAACGCCAACATGTATACTCTCACTCAGGGTCGCTCGCTAGGATTCGTCCACATCGGAACAGAGTCGGTTTTTCTGCACAAATCAAAGGCTCTCCCTGCACTCGGCAAGTCGCGTCCACGTGTTAGTCACCCATGTCAGTTACAGCTTGGCGTCCGTCCCGGTGAGATATTGATTTAATTACAACATTAAAATAATTTCGACAATTTCACTATACTAACGAGGACATCTTTAAGTTTTTTTACTTTACTCCGGAGTACACTGACATAATAATTATATGCACTTATTAAATAAATAGCAAAAGCTGCAATAAATTTTACATCATCCATGTCATACCAATTCTTAATGACGACTAATTACGGCCAACATCTTACCCCATCTTCTTACCCAAAAGATGCCTTGGAATTGGTCTCTTTCGAACTTGACCAACGCGTAAACTGTGGCACTCGCCTTGTATCAATTTCCCTACGCTCGCGTTGGCTAAGGCTTGGCCAACAAGTATTGCTGGGGTAAGATGGCGGATCAGTGGGGATAGCCAAGATAACTTTCTATGATCTTAAATATAGTTATATCTATTAAAATTAATGGAAATGACATAATATCTGAATGTGAACGTGGTAGTCATGTTACAGCTTATGATTGTAGCACAAATGGGTCGGCCCGACCGGGGGAAGACCACACTCTCACAGAATACCAGTGAAAAATAACAAATTAATGCTGCTGTGTTTTGAATGGTCATTGTAGATAACCAGAGACTTTTCACTGGAAACAAGGCATTCCATCTTAGTACTCAGGGGTGACCACATATTCTGAATTTTGATTCTTAATCTAAAATAGATGTAGATGCCTACGGGCATTCACTAACCATCAGGTAGACTGTGTGTTCGGCTAGCCCTGCAGATGTAAAATACCTAGAACAGTGAAGGTATGATTCATCAGATAAAAGGACACACAATCTTACTGCCATGAGTAGAGGTTATCACTAATATAGAACAGATCCATGTCCAATGTACAGTAGGGCTGATAATAAATAAGAAATAGTAATAGGATCATCTGCAACACATCGTAAGTCCATTATAAATTTAGTTATATAAATGTGTTCAAGAATAAATATACGTATTCGTGTTTTGTTGTTATGGGTGGTGGTAGTGGTGGAAGGGTGACAAACGAGCACACCTTTAGCCAATACTCACCAATAGTGGTCAGCGTTATGAAACAATAGTAAACACTGTCGAAGTAACTCCATCCCTCAAACTTTGAGAACGCAGCGGCACCACCCGCGATGGTGAGAGACGATAGAGTGGTCACCACACAGATTAAGTCCACCTCCGATGCGTGTGTTTGTTTGCAGTTCAATGCGCGCTTCAATGATTTTATTATAACACTGTGAACAATTATTAACAAAAATTTGAAAATGTGAAATACAAAGTTTTAAATTTTATTTTGTATATTATACACTGCGCTACGCCGTGCCATTGCGCTAAATCAGTTCACTGCGCCGATGTGTTAATTAATTTCTTTAAAATGTGTTGGCGCACAGCGCAGGACCGAGAAATGCTAAAGATGTTAAGATTTTTTTTTATAGAATAAGAGTGACTAACGAGCACACAGTCCACCTGATGGTAAGTGGACGCTGTGGGCCATAGACATCTACATTTATCTTCAATCTTCGATCAACAATACCAACTAGATAACGGGTCACGTACAAAATCATAGCTAAATACTGTCCGCATGAATATAAACTATGAAAAGACATAAATTAAATAACATTTAGTGTGAAATCAACCTTAAGTTTTAAAAAATAAAGTTCTTTTTCCCGTTACTGCCTTGCGAGCTACACTCTCACGTGCAAGAGCTCACGTCTCATGTGCGCTCTTATTTACTGAGATGGATTTCTTGCGCCGACCCGACATCTAGTTGGTATTGTTGATCGAAGTCTTCAATTAAGAATCAAAATGCAGATGCGTTGATACAATTGAAAAACTTGGGAGATTTTTTTAAATAAAAACGAAAAGTTGATATAGTAAATGATTAGTTTTAAAATTAACATGGACAAAACAAAAGTTACGAGTAGTTTCCATGTCACCCCTATGTCGGTGGTTATGAGGACTACGCTCGAAGTTGTCGATGAATATGTATATTTGGAAGCTCAATGTCGCTCAGCGAGCAATGGAGAGGGCTATTCTTGGGGTTCCTCTACGTGAAAGACTCAGAAATGAGGATATCCACAATAAAACCAGAGTAACCCGCACAGCTCAACGGGTAAGGAAACTGAAGTGGCAATGGCGAAATAGCTCGAAGAACCGAAATCGATGGGGAAGAAAGGGAGCGATCTCGTACCAGTAAGCGAAGTGTAGGGCCCTTCCTTGGGGAAGGCTTATGTTCACTGTGAGTTTCGTACGCACATGTGGAACGAGATAATGATAATCATGATGATAAATAACGCCATATTAATAAATCCTAAAGAGCTGTGGTAGTTCAGATGGTTAACACTCGCTGTAAATATAACAGAACGCGAGTAACCCGGGTTCGATCCCCGCCGGCACCAATGAAATTGTTAATTGCAATTTTAAGTGCTGATTTACCACGTTCTCGGCGGTGAAGGAAAACATCGTGAGGAAACCTGCGTATCTGAGAAATAAAAAAAAATATTTCGAAGACATCTGAAGTTCGCCAACATGCATTGGGACTGCGCGGCGGACACTTTCTTGCCCTAAAACCCTCTTAGAAATGAGGGGAGGCCTGTGCCCAGCAGTGGGACGTATATAGGCTGGAACTTTACTTTTCACTTTTAATAAATCCTCTGATAACGAAATCAGGGGTTATCAGGTAATGTCCTTCAGATCGAATTTCGATCACGGCAGCTAATCCTGTCAGGGACTATCCATCTGCGCAAGACAGGATTGTAGTGCACGAGTGTTGCACAAGCACAGGTCACTTTATATTTCATCACTCTCAAAGTTCGATGGGACAGCAATCCGACACGGCCGGTGTGAGATTGAGCGCAGGACCAACGGCTTTGCGTGCTTTCTGAGGCATGGCGTGAAATACTATCAACTTCCTAACTCTAAATTTTTAGGTTGTTACGAAAATTTCTTGAAAAAGTCCCAATAACTAATTTTTGGATGGGTTGATCCAAAAATTAGTTATTGGGACTTTTTCAAGAAATTTTACTATCGAACTATTGACCAGCAGTTGCACTTATGACCATTAGATCAACGAGGTAGTCCACAATCATCAATATTTCAAACTAACTAATCAATATGAAGTACAAAAACTAAAAGGCTTGAAAGCACAGCTTAATAATTTGAATTTTCGAAAGGTATTGGATACTAAAATAGTAAATTAACCATGAAAACACAATGTTCAGTGTTTTATTACGTTCTTCTAGATTTAAATTACTAATACCATTTTTATTTATTTATTTAGGACAACCAACAAGAAGTACACGAACACAATGTAAATACTACAAATTACAGGAAGGTTTATATCTAAGCGTCATCTTTATTAAAGGTTGCCACGGCATGCAATGTGGAGAACGAATATGTTTTTTAAAACTTACAACTATAAACTTAAAACTAGGTGTAAATGTTAGTTAAAGTAAAGGACTGCATAATTTTTCGCTTGAATTTTTGAGGCTTACCAGCAAAAATATCAACGTCACATGTCTTGCAGAGCTGGTTATATTGCCTCTGTAACCTGTTTATGGTGGCGTGGTGACCTAAATTAGTTTTACTGCCTTCAACTGAAAAGGGGACGTATCGGCTGACACGCACTAGCTTAAAAGGTACCTTGAAATTTATTGCACTTAGTAGGTATGGACAGTCTACGGTTCCATTGACGATTTTGTGTAGCAACATGAAATCCAGCAAAAGCCTCCGCTGTTGCAGGCTACTTAATTTAAAATACGTCAGTCGGTCTTCGTATGAGGATAGATCCTTTATTTTGTAAGTTTGGTACGAAAGATACCACAAAAAACGCTTCTGGATACGCTCTATGCGTTTCACGTAAATGTCATAAAATGGAGACCAGACCTGACTACAGTATTCGAGGCTGGAACGGACTAAAGACTTGTACAAGGATATTTTTGTAGAGGTCCTCTTAAATTCTTTAGAATTAGGCAACACGAACCCCAACATTTGAAGACCCCTTGTAACAATTCCATCAACGTGCTTATGAAACCGCAACTTTTTGTCCAGAATCACACCCAGATCTCGAACAGAGTTCACTTCTACCAAAGGATGACCATCAATATTATACATAGGTGTCGGAACATTTACACACCTTGAGAATCTTATAATTTTACATTTATCGAGGTTCAAAAATAGTCTGTTCTTTATGCACCACAAAGACATCCGGTCCAAATCCTCTTGCAATAGGAGTGAGTCACTGTGGTCTTTTTGTTCTGCTACAGTCTCAAGTAAAATGTTCTGAGGAGTAACCATTACCACAACTCTCGATTTTCTAAGAGACAAACCACCCAAAATTCTTCAATAGGAGTAGTCACTGTCTTGATTTTCATGTCATCTGCGTACATAAAGCAGGTCGCGTGTTTAAAAACAGACGCTAAGTCATTTATAAAAATATTGAAAAGGATCGGACCGAGATGGGAACCCTGAGGAATACCAGACGTAGGTAGAAATGGTTCTGAGGAGTAACCATTTACCACAACTCTCGATTTTCTCTGTCTGAGGTATGAAGACAACCATTCGAGAAGATTGCCAGTGATGCCCAAAATTGAGAGTTTGTGAAGTAAGATGTTATGATCTACAATGTCAAACGCCTTACTGAAGTCTGTGTAGATCTGGATCTGGAGTCTGTGTGTCCACAGACAAGCGGGAATCGAGAGACTTGGAGACATAGTCCACAAATGAAACGAGATTTGTAGCTGTAGAGCGAGATGTTAAAAAGCCCGATTGTTGGGGTGAGATTATTTGTTCTATGTGCCAAGCCAAAACAGGACAAACTAATGATTCAAAAACTTTAGCGAAGACAGACAATATGGATATTGGTCTGTAATTTCTGACGGATCCTCCGTCTCCTGATTTATAAATTGGGACAATACGTGCCTGTTTCCAGACCGAAGGGAAAGTACCCGTTTTTAAAGACATATTGAAAATGGTTGTTAAAGGCAAGGATAACGCTTCGCGGCAGTTGATTACAAACAAAGGGGGGTATGTCGTCAGGTCCAGCTCCCTTGGTCCGATCTAGACCAGTAAGAGTTTTGAGTACTTGATTAGCAAGATAATTTGAGGTACAAATTTGGTCAACAGTGGTCACAGACAGTACTGAGCTAGTGTTATACACCGATGCGAAAAATGAGGCAAAGAGATTGCATATGCCGTCACCATTATCTGCTTTGTCATCTCCGAAGGTCATGGATGTAGGGTAAGCATTGCTATTACGTTTTTTATTTTTTATGAACGTCCAGAATAACTTTGAATTTTTGGAAAGTGCTCCCTCCAGATCCGCGACATAGTTTTTATGACAGGTGCTTATTAATTCGGCGCATCTTTTGCTAAGTGTTTGCAAGTTCGTCCAGTGGATTTTTGTATTTTCGGTACCTCAAACGAAGTTTGTTTTTTTCCTTGAGGAGATTTATGAGTTCCTTTGTGTACCATACTGGAAACTTTTTTGTGGAGGGTTTACATTTTCGAACGTACTTAGTAATCGTCTCTGTTAAAATAGCATAAAATTCTCTTACCATGATATCAACCAAACAAGAAGATTGTATACGGTCTCATGAAACTGAATTTAAATGTGCTATGATTTTATCGTAGTCCGCCTTATGAAAGTTATATCTTTGGCTTTGAGCGTTAGGCAATAAACTTGGCGGATCACAACACGAAAATGTTAGAACTAAGGGAGGGTGGTGAGAGTCGGGGTTACTCAGAAGAGAGTCACCACGCACCACACCACTGACCTTCAGCGTGCTGGAGAGAACGAGATCAAGAATTCTACCTTTGTCATTTAAAATATAGTTATATTGAGTGAGATTATTAAGAGCAATAAAATCCAGTAGAGCATTATCTAATGAGCTTTTGGTTATAAAACTGAGTGGAGAAGACGTATTACGTTTATCCCAGATAATGTTACCCAAATTGAAGTCGCCCATAATTAATGTTTTTGCATTTGATTCCAACACACGGTTTGTATTTTCAATATAACAATCAAGAATGTTTTTTTGTAAAGGTGAGGGAAGATATACACAACACAATAATATGTTTTCAGAGGAATTACCTCTTCCGCCTATCTCTAATTCCACCCATACATCCTCACAGTCGCTTTCCAGATGTGACATCCTACGAGAGCAGATATGTTTGGATACTGCAATGAGCACCCCGCCACCAGGACCAGGTTTATTACTATGGAAGCCACTAGTCTCCCGGTCGCGCCTGTACACTAGATATCGCTCACTAAAAAGTTCGCCATCGTATATAGTATTGTTAAGCCATGTTTCGCATAAGAAAATGACGTCGTAATTAGAACTTAATACACTATTATAAAACTCTGTGGTTTTTGTGCGGATAGTAAATATTTAACGTATTGAATTTTAAGCCTTATTAACTGTACGCTTAGCTTGAGAAAATTTAGATTAGCTTATGATAACCGTTGCAATGTTGTTGAGTTTCGCACAAGTATGTATTCCGATGTATCCGTCTTTCGCATGTAAATGCGGCCGCCTCGAACCCATACATGCTTATACTGCAGCTCCCTAGCTCGAGCGCGCGCCGACGCATGGAGATACTTATTTTCAGGCGACAGATTTTCTGTTACGTATATGGCAGTCTTTTTTTCTGTTCCGAAGCCGAGATGCCCGGTGTTCAGTCTATCTTGCGGATGATGTTTATTGTACTTTATAGTTGCGGCCAAAAGCGTATCTCGCGAGCGAGGGCTTTTTAACTTAATTAAAATTGAGCGGGGACGTGTGCTCTCAAGATTCTTTTTCGCAATACGTGAACAGTAAAATATATCCGCTTCAGTTACAGGACAAGATACGGTTTTACCAAGTTGCTTAACAATTGGACAATAGGTTTTCAAACTTCCTTTCTGGAACGCATTGGATTTCCAAGTTTGAGGCACGGGAGATTTGTTCGAGTTGGTTAAAGCGACTGGTGATAGAGTTTAATTCATTCCGGAGGCATTCCTTCTCCTTTAAGATCGTCTCAATGTTGCTTTTACATGTAGTAATTTCAGTATTTAGTTTGTCAAAAGAGTCGCTAATAAAATTTATGGAATCCTTTATAGAACCAACTTCGTTCCTAAAAGCTTTCAATTCCCTGTTTAAGTCCTCCTTTATCTCCCTAATACATTCCTTAATGAAACATCGAAGTTCCTCCTGCATAATGGTACGCAGCTCCACGCGCGACACACATGAGCCGGAGCAGCCGCTTTGCGCGGCTACGGAAGCGACTATGGCCGCTTGTTTGGACGTTCCCTGCTTTCCACGGCGTGATGTCACATTGGCGTCGGCGTGGGCACTACTAGTAGGTGTTGACGGACGGACCGGCGTATTTGAATTATCATTGCGCGGTTTTTTGCTACGACACTCAGGGCATATCCAACTCATCTTGGTGTCAGAAGAGAGTCTCTCGAATTCGGTGGGCGAAACACCAACGCATTGGCCATGATAAAAACGTAAACAGGTGCAGCATTCTAAGAAATCGTAGTCGTCAATCGTTGAATGACAAGCGGCGCATTGATGCATGGTGAGTGTTGTTTATTATAAACAACTGGGTTTGACGTGGGACGGTCCGCACAGTAGCACAAGCGGGTGCGAAAGTGGGACAGCAATTATGTCGACTATCTCTTATCGCGGCGGGGGTGCGGCAGGTCGTCCCGCAAATTAACAGCAGCGCGACGTAGCTATTTTATTATAATTGTTTATTAAAAACGCACTATGCACTCACGGGAAAATAGCAAAGATTACTACGTCGTTCACCTGTTTTAGTACACAAAATCGCGCGCACGGATCGGGTATTTCATTAGATAGACCGATAACGTCCACTACGAAAGTTTGTTTGGACGACAAGGGATTGACCATGATTAATATGTATTCAAATCTCCAGTGCTTTTAGGATTTAATTGTTTTCGTTTTTTCGTCAAGAATTATTATAAATAAAACTATATTATTAAAAAGACTGAAATAACTTAATAATAAAAATTAGCTTACCTACTAAGTCTGTTGACACGCTCACCAATACTTTGGAACATGATGAGCCCTAGAGGAATACCAACGATGGCGTAGAACATTGTGAACAACTTGCCTCCGACTGTTGATGGAGTAGAGTGCCCATAACCTGTTAATTAATAAATATATATATATCAATCAGTATAATATATTGAAAATGATGATAATCCGTGTAGGTATTATAAGGCGATAGCCGTATAATTTATATATTATGCAAGCAAACAGTTTGATCCCTGCCGGAACCAATAAAATTGTTGACTGTTTAAAATAGAAGCTTAATACCACACTAAAATACTTTTTAATTAATTCGAATCAGACATTTAATTTCGAAGTCCTTAAAATCAATTGCTGTCCATTAGACTCGTTTAAACTCGAAAATGGCTCGAATGATTTAGATGAATTTTTTGTGTATTTTAGTGGGTCCCTGGATGATTTAAAAACTCAATTGGACCCATTAGGTGGCGCTGTTGTCAAGATACTGAAATCAACCATGCGAAGCTGGGCTGGGTCGCTAATGTACATATAAATTAAATAAGTTACATACATTATATAACTATACTAGCTTACCAGGCAGACGTTGTTCTGCCCTTTTCGACGACAATATGCCATGTTCTATTAAAAATCCTTAAATTCGCAAAAAAAAATTGTGGGTCACTCATAAGCAAAAAAACTATCCTATCTCTCAAGTTGGACCAAATTGCACATGGTGTGCAAATTTAATTAAAATCGGTTAAGTAGTTTAGGAGTCCATCGCGGACAAAAAAAGTGACACGTAATAATTTATATGTATTAAGATATTTATATAAATACATAAATAAATACTACTGATGAGAATATTCTGCTAGTTTATTTAAAAAGTGTTTGCAAAATTTCTTCTTGAATGATAACGATTATAAGCCATTCAAATTTCAAGAAGGTGTGCATTCCAGAGGAGAACAGACTGTGCAGTAAAGATGCGGGAAGCCAGATTTATGAGTGAGACACTTTAGTAAAAGGTTATTCAAAGAATGCAGTTTTCCGTCATGGCTAGAGCAAGGGTACTGAAAGTGTGAGAAGTAAGAGGGGGGAAGTAGGATACATCAAAATGAAGTGTAGGAATGTGAGTGCGCGCATACTTCGTCTCCGACGAATGCACATGGTCATACGAAAATGTAAAATGAAATGAATGCAGTTATTACGAAGACCATGATATTTGTCAGGAAGATCTGCATTCTGTTCAAAATAACACACATCACCGTAATCAATCAGGGGGAGAATTAAGGCTTGCTCAATTATTGCTTTGGTCCTGGATGGAAGAAAGTTTTTCAGGCGCTAAAGAGCCCGCAAGGTAAATACGAGTAGATAGACAGATAATGACGGGCTGTTTTCTGCAACTGCGCGTATTTTGCGTATAGGCAGGAATAATGTAATTATTCGAGCCATGAAAAGCCTGCACCTGTGACTTTCTGGATAAAATTTATCACTTAGGCATGCTAGCACAAAGCGGATTCAATATATAAGCTAAGATTAAAATGTAATAAAATATAGAAAGGCCATGCAGATTTAGATTATGACACTTGATGTATTTATTACTATTTTAAATGAGACAATGTCTACACTCTCGCCTTATGTCATATTGTGCAACTATATACGTAGTAGAGGCACGCTGCACATATATTATAATTGTAGCACAAATGCGTCGGCTCGATCGGGGAAGGACCAAGCTCTCACATTTATTCTGCTGTGTTTCGTATGATGAGTGTAGAGATCTGAAGACCCTTTTTTACTGGAAACGAGGCATTCTATCTTAGTCCTCAGGGGTGACAACGCATTTGCATTTTGATCTTCAATCAAGAATAAATGTAGATATCTATGGGCCACAGCATCCATTTAACATCAGGTGGACTGTGTGCTCATTTGTCACTCTTATTATATATAAAAAACATACAAATAATATATAACAAAACATAAAACATACTCACCAATTGTAGTAAGTACAGTAGTAGCATAGTAAAATGCCCCAGTAAACTTCCACTGCTGGCCAGCCTTATGCGGCTCAGATTTGAGCACAACAGTCTCCATAACTCGAAAGTCTTCCTCTGTGATGTTATATTTTCTTATAATCATGCCCTCTATTGCTGCAATAAAATATTACAATCACATGAATATTGTAAATACAGACATTATAAGACCTTCGCACAACATAATTTATTAATGAGTAACTTTATATTAATTATCCACCACTTCTTTGCATGGCTGATGTCTGGATCTCGACAACAGCACAACCTATGGGGCCCAAATGTAAATCTAAACCATCCAGGGACCCACTCAAATGCACACAAAAAATTTCATTAAAGTCAATCGAGCTTTAGCAATACTAACGGACAGCGATTGCTGATATATACACAGATTATAATCTTGTGACTTTCTTGATGACTTTTTTTTCCATAACTACAGCCTTTCAAAAGTCCACTGCTGACTTCCCTATAGATTGTCTCATAGCAGTATATTTAAGTACAATAGTTGCAGTTTTTATTAATTGTTATCAGGAAGATGCTGCAACCCGTCTCTTATTTCAGTTTCCCTCAGTTGCCTCTTATAACAACTGCAGGATGATATGGGGTACCTGATTCTCTTACACCATCACTATAGTTTGTGCCAAATCGATTGAGAAAAACGGACATTAACCTTTCAGTCGTTTAACAAGTGGTGGCTACAAACCTTCAATATATAGGCATATTTTTATATGTAGTACTTTCTTTATTTATAATGATTGATATAATATATATTTATTAACTAATATTAAAAAGTCATGTAAAACATCGCTGTAGAAAAGTCATCTATTGTTATAAAGTACTTTATTCCTTTATTTAATTTATAACACATATAAAGATTCGAGTGATAAGGACACCGAATAAGTACCTATTAATTCAAAAGATAAAACTTTATTTTGAATATTATATAAGAATTTTATTTTTATTCGCTGCATGCGGGCTGGCCCAAAAAAGTGACGCATCTCTGGCTGCCATTGTCACGTTTTTTTAGAACGAACTGATATAGCACGCGTTTTGTTTATTTTAAAGGGATAAATTTACAAAAGCTCAATATGGCGATTATATTGCTTCAATTTTTTTTAATATGAAACTGCTAGTAAATGAATTGCTGTGTTAACTACCATAAATTGAAATATAAAATATAACACATTTTTCGCGATGTACTGTAAGATTTTACGATGTTTATAGGAACCACAGAGAATATTATTTAAGAAACAAATAAACAAAACATATGTGCTGACCCAGAAGTGTGAATAATATCAATATTTAAATCACATCTAAATTGAGATTTTGTAAGTTACGCCTTTTGACACTCGGCTCATATCACCTCCTCATATAGGCTCATATCATATCGGCTCTATGACCTCAGGGTCATCGTCCGTTTTTCTCAATCGATTTGGCACGAACTATAGATGATAATACCTGACTAAAAATACCCAACATGCCACAGAGATTTGTCAAATGTGCAAGTCTGGTACTGTGATAATTAATTTGGCTCCCAATTGTAATAATTGTAGAAGATATTCTCAATTTTAATGCAATACCATTCTAGCAGTACAGTACAGACTGTTTACCAGATATATAGCATATAAATTATTACAATGTTGAATCAGTGCTTAGAGAAACTTTTGTTAAGAAAATCCAAGCACATTGAGGGGTTTTTTATTACAGTATATTTTCAAAAAGTGGTACTATGTATTGATAGATTGCAATGCAAATATATGTCAAACAACGTCTTCGACAGCAGAACTTTTTTATGCCTAGGAGTCCGACTGGGTTGGCACCACACTTTTACCTATCTATGTCTATCACCAAATAGCAGTGCTTGCATTGCTGTATTCTGTTCTATGAGATATAGAGAGTCAGTATAATTACAGGTTGTGAAGCATTCCATCTCAGTACTCAGGGGTGACAACACATCTGTAACCTTCTAGTTAAAGTTGGCTGCAGACGTCTGTTCACTGCAATTGCCACTTACCATCAGGTACACTGCGTGACTACATGTTAATTTGTCATTTCAGTATTAAACATATTTAATTATATTATGACATTGTACTAAAATTTGTGTAAGATAGTTCTTTGTGTGATCTAGATAAACCCTGAAGCACATATTCATTGAATGCAGTTGTTTGATAGTCCCTTTATACGATATAATACCTTTTAAATCTATAAATATAATAAATAATATTCAACAACCAGTAAATGTCCTTAAAAAGTATCCTTTTTGCTAATGTGCTTGCAAAATTTCTAAGAATTAATAATATAAAACTATGAATATTAATTACATAAAATTATAACTAATATTATTAATAATATAGGTGCATTAAGTTTAATTCCTGTATTATATTCAAATCTATTGTAATTTCTGTATTATGTTTAAATATATTGTATAAATTTCAATATAATTGATAGCTAATCTTGTATTTTTTATTTCCTCTTTAAATATCTCAACTTCCAGGGTTATGCACTAAATTGTCTTTAAAACTAGTAGTCAAAGTATATTTCAACAGTTTTCCTTTTTTTGTGTAATATCTTATCAATCAATCTTTTAAAATATGAAGGTAAGAAGAAGACATTTTAATAACATATTTTCACATCATTTTTCATCTGGGTTATAGGCTTATTCAATTATTTTAATTATTAATCAAATATTAGGCAATTGTAGCCGTGGTGGCTCAGATGGTTAGCGCTTGCTGTATATTTCACAGTTTGCGAGCAACCCGGGTTCAATCCCCTTTGACACCAATGAAATTGTTTATTGCAATTTTATGTGTTCATTTACCACATGTGGGTTATGAAGTAAAACATCACCAGGAAACATGCAAATATGAAAAAAGAAATTTGAACACATGTGAAGTTCACCAACATTCACATGACAACACAAATTTGAATTTGAATTCGACGCACAAGGGCAGCGCGGCATATTTCCTTGGCCTAAAACTCTCACAGAAATGAAAGAAGGCTTGTGCCCAGCAGTGGAACGTATATAGGCTGTAACTAACTTTAATTAGGCAATTACTATTACAATACCAAAGTAATCATTTTCTGTTTATAGCTTTTGACAAATGTTTAACATAATTCTTATATCAAAACACAAATTTTAAATAGTATTGAACATTGTCAATTTAGCATACCTTGTAAAACTTCAAATCTATTGCGTTCAGTTGTAGACTCCAATGCATCAAACACTGCTGCACCAACAAGTAAGTATGTAAATGTGCACACAATTAACGATAGAGTGCGAACATTTTGCTTCTTCATCACTGCCGAGTCACAGAGGCCGTAGGGCTCTAGGCCCTGTTACCAACAGTCCACAATTGAGACTTAGCCTCTCAATCCCACATTGCACCCAATCATAGTTTTTTTTAAGTAACCATTGTATTTTACTAAATCTTTGCCTCAAATAATTAAGACAACAGCATTTAATGGGTCTTCATTTTATTTAGTTGTTTATATGATATGTGTTTCAGAATTGTAGTTAGATTGTCAATTATTTTACTGCTTGGATTGTGCATTTACATCTTTGTTTGATATATTTGTAGAGACAACCATATTATGATTAGATTGGAGAGTATTCTACTATGAATTAAAATTCATAACTAAAATTAAGTGGAACTTATTTTAAAATGCGATTTTTGGCACATATTCTATTCTCTCATCTGTAATTAGTGAAAAAATATCTTAAATTAATAATGATAAAAAGAGTTATAGAATAATAAACTCTGTCACGTTTTCTGTATATTAAAACACACAGAAAAAATACATAATTTACAGTCAATTTAGCTAGCTAATGTTCTACAAAAATATTTTTGTATACAACAGGAATATAAATAAAAACATCGAGGTTTAAACAAAGGACTTACCATTTTCCTACAGGAATAAATCGCGACGACGAGTGTTGTGCGTAAATTTTCTTATTCTATATTAAAGAGCAGCATCTATAAATATTTAAATATCTGCAAAGCCGTATCCTAAAAATAACATCATTGCTAAGTCCGCATTCAAATCCAATAGGTCACCACGGCACACGGCACCGAATCTGGGTCAGATATTACGACAATTTTTAAATGGAATAAAGTACGGAAATTATAACAGACAACTTCCGAACGAAGTCAAAACTCATATTTCTCTTTTTTTTAATTTTAATTAAAAATCGAAATGAAATATAAAACAAATCCTATGCGGTATTCACTATTGCTGTCACACCTGTCTGCTGTTCCTGTCCTTATAAACTCACATGCACTTCCGCGTAACATTACACATTCTTATCTCCAAATCATCTTCAATAAATAATCGGTTTTGACCGATTTACATGACTGCTTTTAATTTTAATTTATTTTAAAAATAATAAAAAAACAACAATCGCAACCAGATCGACTGCACTTTCTTGATTGAACTGGTTAGTGTTGCCAGGCTTAAAAATGCAGCAAAATTTTAATTTCCATAAAAACTACGAGTTACCATCTTATATATTAATAAAAAAAAACAAATACATATTTCAAGAATTAGAAGACAAATCATAAAGATTTACATACAACTTGCAATTATATACATACTTGTATATATAGAGGTCAGTGTTTACATACACATAATTTTTACTTACGTAATGGAATTATCAATGGGTGCGTTTGGCAGAAAAAAGCGCTAACAAGCGCTTATAAGCGCTAAAATAGTTTTCGGCCAGGACACGATTCTACTTCAGTAGCGCTGACACAATCCGCCATTTTGCTTATTTAATTTGTTTGTTTTGAAGTAGAGTTTATAAGTTGTTTTGTGCAATATTAGTTTTAAGTAATATAATGACATGAATAAACGTATACATGCTATTAAAAACTCAAGATTGGTAAGTTTTTAATATGAATACTTTACAAACATATATTTAAATTAGGTTAGATTCCCCGGTTAAAACTAACCTCGTGTCCTGGAGGAAAATAGCTACTTACGATTTGACAGCGCTTACCGCTTACGATCGCCATTTTGCTTACAAGCGCTTGCTAGCGCTTTTTTCTGCCAAACGCACCCAATGACTTTTTGTGCCACTAGGGCGGCGCCACTTAAAAATGCAGATTTCATATCGGGGAAGACAATTTTTTCGAAAAATGTAAAGGTTAATTTGTCTTTCTATACTATTAGTTATATTTTATATTAATTAAATTTAAATAAACAAATCAAACCACAGATATTCCTAAAAGTAGAAAAATTAAAACGAGTTAAAAATGTGCAAAAAATTTAAGAGCTAACCAATGAGGCATTGTTTTCTGTATTAATCCGAAGACACTGTAGTATAATACTCTAGAAAGTGAAATTTTATTTAAGACAAACTTCTGAATTAAATGACATTCCGTAACAAAAAACTTCACCTCAGTATCAACTAGCGAAAGGTGAGCGGTAGATTATTAGCCCTCATTGTTTGGACCATAGGTTTCAACAATAAAGTAAAGATGGCGTTTTATTAAAATTTTATATATACAAAAAAAGTACCTTATAAACAAATCATGTATTTTCATCTTAGAGTAATTACATAGGTACATTATTTGTATTTACTCTGAGATTTTTACGCAAGCTGTTATTTATACTCTAACCGCATGTAATGTAATGTTAACAGAGTATTTCTGACCAGCTCACCTCCCTCGCCGTTTACCGTGAAAGAATAAATTAATAAAATCCATCATAAAAGAAGCTGGTTCTCTACGCTCACCATACGAAACACAGCAGCATTTAAGCTATTATTTTACGCTGGTATTCTGTGAGAGCGGGGTCCTTCCCCGGTCGAGCCGACCCATTCGTGCTACAACTATACTACTAATATAATTATATTACTATGCCATATAATTATATTACTTATATTAATATAATAAAACGCTATTTTAATCCTTACGGACAAAAGTTACTACATTATCAATACAATTTTATGACCGTAATCTTCGCTATAGCATGTTATTTGATTTTTTTTTAATTAAAAAGCACATAAGTATTTATTTTTTTTCAAATATTTTAATAGGAAATTTCAAAAATCTTAAAAAAAGAAGAGTGTGACATACCTATATGTTACATTGACTTATATCTTATTCCTCTATCGTAGAAGTGTGGAACGCTTTGAAACAATTATTTAGCTTGTTATAGCACAATCTTGCACTACATTTTTCACAGACCTTCTGTGATACCCCGGCACAGTTGGGATACTTGCAGCGAATCCTCTTCTCGACCCATACAGGCTAATGCAACTTGGTCATGTCGCACAGCTACGGCAGGGAAGAACTGCGCCTTTTTTTGACCTAGATTTTCGGCTCAATGCTTCGTCGTCTCATATTTGCTTCTGCCTCAATCTTGCACAATACCGTCGCAACCTCCTCACAAATATCAGCTGAAGATAGCAGCGTGTCTTGTGAATTCTTGGTCTTACGTACACACTCTTTAATATAACAACCAGGCATTAGACTTGGTAAGATCCAAGAAATGGTAAAACATAAGAACCTGTCATCTCTCGATTTGCAGCTTTATTTTGGATCTGCCCATGATACTGTCGATCGGATCGATACCACCCATATAGCGGTTGTATTCTCCTACGATGTGTGGACGGTCAATGGCCACATACCTTTCGTTCATCTTATTGTATCTCGAGATCTGTGTCTTGGGTAAGTCACCCATAAAACTTGAAGCAAGCGTGACTATTTATACGGATTTTATCGCGTTTAATTAACTTTTTTTAATTCCCACGTTTCAGCACCCATTTACACGGAGAGGACTGAGACGTTTCACGTCCCAATGTCATAGTTAACTAGGCTACCTTCAGTTTTTAAATACTCGTATGAATTTTTGGTCCGATCTACACAGAACGAGCAGTAGAGTCAGAGTACAGTATCTTGAAGTCTTGCAGTGGTACGCTTGGGTTTGGATTTAATTTTTTTAATTATAGGATCACAAGCAGATGGCAGCACCCATCCATCTTCTCTATTGAAATTATGATGTTTTTAATTTCAAAAGCCTCGCGTAACATCCTTGGTAGGAATCGATGTTCTTTTGCGAGAATTTGTGGTTTATGAAATCTGATGTAATAGTGGGGACGATCTTAAACGTGTGCACAGATTGCAGGCTTCCCGGAGCGCCAGTGTTTCACGTTTTTATAGATCTTTTTGTTTTTCCTATCTAAAGGCGAACGCATTCACAATTTAGCTTGTACACAGCAATGGCGGATTTACCAGCAGGCTTAGTAGGCTGGAGCCTAGAGCGGAAGATTTTTGGGGCGGCAAATTTGAGGCTGAAGTTTTGTTATGTCTTACACAAATTAAAGAGATTAAAATTTTAAAAGTAAAGCTGAAGAAATATTACTTTTTCGTTCCTTACTCTGCCCACTCTTTAGAATTCAATGATTCCCAAAGTGGTCTATATCGACCCCTAGGGGTCTATAACTACCTGCAAGGAGTCTACGTCAGCGAAAAAAAATTTGGGGGTCCATGAAATGAAAATGGGGGTCCACGATAGTGGATCTCAACACATACACTGATAGTACCTATTTACTTACATCATACTATCATATAATATCAAAACATATTTTAACAGTGGTAGAGCCACGCGGCAGCTTTGCTGTTGCACGTATGGGCCGGCTCAAACCGGGGTGGTACCACGACCTCACAGAATACCGGCGTGAAGTGGAAGCTCTGCTTCCGCTTTTCGTCTGGTGAGTGTAGGTGGCCGGAGGCCCAATTCCCCCCCCCATCAACATGGTAGCGGAATTAAATAATGATAGACTACCCCAGGAGGGTACCAGCACCGCAGGAGAATCCCTCGCTGAGCATCCACGATCATGTTTCTCCACTTCTGAGCGTGGGTGCTCAGGCTGCCCCGCGTATTCTGGGGGGGGGGCAAAATTCCGCTCAAGACTACAACTGCTCGGGGCAAACGGAGCAACAAAACCAAGGCGACCCCTGCCACGCTGTCCGTGAATTTCTGCAATATCAGGGGACTTCACTCTAACCTAAACGCCGTCCACTACCATCTCGAGACGGCGAGGCCGGCTCTGCTCTTTCTGACCGAGACGTTCAGGTGTCCTCTCCGGCTGATATCTCGTATCTCTCCTACCCGGGGTACAAACTGGAACACTCCTTTGTTCCTGGGGCTGGAGTTTGCGTTTACGTCAGAGAGGACATCTGTTCTCGACGCCTCAGCAGACTTGAAGGTTCGGACCTGTCCATCCTTTGGCTACGCATAGACAGCGATGACCATCTACGTGTCTACAGGTGCCTCTATAGGTCTCATAGGGG